AAACAAAACTACAAATGAGTTTTATCAATATTTAATTTCATACAATCAAGTTCTCAATTTTAATTTACTTAAACATCTATCATTCTATCCTTTGTCGTTAGTCCAATTAACGTAATTTATAGAAAATGGAATAGTTAAATATACGAGCAAATCAAAGTTGGGTGATGCAATTTCAGTGAAAATTGGGTGCCCCTAAGTGTATTTTACCTACTGAGTAATTGAAGACAATAAGACATGGAGCAACCAAGATTGCTTTTTCAACCCAATTCATTTGGTTACTAATCCTTTAACACCAAATTCATCCCATTCAGATATTGTAGAGCATGGAAAATTGGGAATAGAAGACGAGGGTAAAGGGACCAACTTGGCAAAAGTAGTTCCTTTACACATTGTAAGTATCAGAAACAGACACCAAATTCAATCAACATTTTCAAATACATTCAACATTAAATTGCTGTACATTGGCATATATTCAAGAAACCGGGACTAGAAAGCTTTTCCAACTTCAGAAGTAGTTAGAGCATCAGCTGGAGGATCAAATGTCAGGTCAAAAAATTTGATCAACTGTTCAATATTTTAACACGATTATGAAGCTAACGCCCTTTCGATGGCAGCAATGTAGAACTCCTTGGGCATGGTACCAATGATGGATTCAAGTTTTACACCATTTTTAAACAGCAAGACCACTGGCACAGCCTTAATATCATAATTCTCAGCAACTTGCAAATCACTGTCTGCATTGAGTACAAAGCATTTTAATCTCCCGGCATAATCCATTGCAATCTCATCAATCACACGATGGACCATCCGGCAGGGGCCACACCAACTGGCATAAAACTCAACAAGTACTGGGGTATCACTATTCAAAACTAGTTTCTCCCATGACTTGCCTGTAACAACTGCTGCTGCATGTTCAGAAAACAATATATTTAGAACTCACGTCACTTTTTGCACCCAGATAATTATTCTCCAACAGTTCAAAGAAAATACTAAACACAGGACCGAGGCACTTAAATATTCACTGGTTTCTTAAAAGCTATAATTTACAAGAACTGATGCAAACTTTCAACCTGATCCATAAGTCATATATCTTCAATATGATAGACTTAGCAAATAACTTTTGAAAACTCATTTGCTCGCGATATCACAAAACCATGAAATTGCAGAAAGTAAGAACGCAACAATTCAAAGAAAAGCTACGTCTAAACTATTTATTGAGCCTCACTGACCATATCTTATCTGTAAGTCAAAACTTCTATAGAACCCAAAACCAAGTCTGCTTGGACAGAATAGAAAGTATTTGGATCAAGTATTTGTCTCTCTGAACGTTCAACAAGGACACTTGAACTGAGAAATGATGAATGATGAATAAAGAACTAAATATTTAATAAATTTGATGAAGAAGTGAGAATGACATGCCTTCCATACAACAAGAAATATAAAAAGCCAAGAATAGAGTAACTAAGACGTTGATATAAAACTAAAGCACCATATGAAATTGGTCCGATCTTCCATTACATAACTAAAGCACAAAATCTATAAAATCTACATTTTTGTCCTTTGTGGTGGAAAGTATGAAACTTTACAACACAGTTTATGAATTACAAGATTTTGGAGCATAAAAAGAACCAGCCTGGACACTCATTTGTGTCCAGTTCCTTCGCTACTCATGAAATTGTTTGTTTTATGCATAGATTTTCATTGAAATCTGTTCCTCAGAAGAACCAAAATGTTATTTATACTCATTTGTGTTCAGCTCCATCTTCAATATCTAATACTAAAATATCAATTTTTGTTAAATCATTTTGAATGTTAATTAATGTATCCATTCTAAAGGGCCAGACGTAGAATACAGCCAAAACATGGATAAAAATGGCTGGCAAAAGATTGGACAGAGACAAAAACAATGGCTAAAATTTTCTTCTAGTAAAATGAAATTGACAAGCACACTAACTTCGATTAAGATTTTCGATTTTCAATTTTCTCCTAGGTTCAGCAGCGAACTCCTTTTACCAATTAACTGCAAGGATTTTATACTCTTAGAAGGAGTCAGTGGCTGCTTCTAAATACACAATCAAACTATCTGTTTGAAATATCAACTCAAAGATGTCCAACCCAAAAACTTTACAGAATTATGCAGAACATTGAATCCAGGAAGACCACGTCTGGCGTCCCATCTCATCCGACGAGTAAATAAACATAATCAATCTATTTGAATTTCACATTTGCAATAAGTTAAAAATGATATTTAAATCTTGAGCAAATTGGTAAATTATTTGCTATGAATGTCAATTTTCTATAATTAACATTAAACTATTTTTTTAATTATATAGTGAGCATGCATATAATGCACGAGCATCTTTCACTACATCAAGTGGTTGTATATTATACTTAATCAAGTTAGAGTGGATACTATTATTGCATGGAAAAGCGTTTATAGTTTAAAATTCATGACTGGAATTCTTCTTTAGTATCTGTTTTCTCTTATCCTTTATTAATAAAACTCTTCCTAAATTTGCATCTTTTTAGTATCTGAACAAGATGCCTAATACTTCATTTCTTCTTCATTCTTTTTTTTTTTCACCCTTTTTTCTGTTTGGGCGTGGGAGGGTGCAAGAAGCTGGCAAGAAATTTGAAGTCTTGGGGAAGGATATTCGTGCAGATTTTTAAGATGTCTAATAAAGGACATTGGAATTGGAATCTGAAAGTAATTCGAGCATGCAACCAAACAGTGCATTATACGAAAATATTGAATGGATATTGAGGTCCATAGCAGGAGATCAGAAGTCATTTACAAAAGATATAATTGACCACAATAAACTAAGGTCGTAGTTGGAAAGTTGGATTGGACTGATTGACACTACTCTATTTTTTAGCTTATTTTTCTTATTCAAGAGTGGAGAGAAATTCTCCAAAGCAAGTCCCGAAACGAGAATCAGAAACAGATTAAAAATCACTTCAGAAATTATCCCAATCAAACTTGAATTGGTATTACTTATGAATTCTACTTCCAAGCCTCCAACTCTGTACTGCCAACGTAGCTTAATTCCATTCAAGGTGCTGGTAATTCGGCAATCAAGTAGCTAATGGTGATCAATCAATCTATAGCTAGTTCATGTTCCATTTTTGCATTTGTGCACATTTTAGCCAAGCAAATAATTTTCATTCCCCGTTTCTAGATCTATCATCAAATAAACTTAGACCGCGTTAAAATATTACAAGGAAAAGAACACCTTACAGTTATATCTCAGCTTGTATGGGATTCATGACATCCTCCGCACTCAACCATCATTGAAGCACTAGATCATGTTAACCTCAAGCTGTTAGAAATGGACAACGCATATTCATATTCACTTAAATCTTATCTTTTAGGATGCCCCATTCATTTTCTGATCGAAGGTCACAATAATCATTTTGTCTAAAAGCTTAAGAATCACTCATTCAGTTAAATCACTTCTTCACTCTTAAACATATCATGAACTGATGGTCAACCCAATAAAATTTTCCAGCAATATTGAAAAACAAAACCCATAAAGAAAGCTTAAACAAATTGATGAATTCATTTACCTGAGGTATGACGGAGGCAGAAGACTCGCAGATTGGAAGGGTTCTTTCGGGCCGGGAGACTCGTTTTAGGCAAAAATGACAACCCAATTCGATGATTAATCCGCACCTGACACTTTGGGACTGAAGAAACCATGCCATTTCGTAGACAGAAAGGAGGATTAGAGTAACCAGTAGCACAAGATGATAAAGCCATTTTAGCCCAACAAATGCAAAAAAAACCTGTATTGATTTTGATTTATCAGCTGGTATATATAATTAGTATTTTTTTTTTCCTCAAATTGATATCTATGTATAAATAGTCAAATACACACAACGTAAGTGCGTGTTTGGATTGATGCAGGGGAGATATTCTTATCGAGTACGACAAGTAATGATCTCATGGACGGTTTCGATTTTTAGGTGGGGATGGTGACTGATAAATCAGCTGAATTGTACTCGGGCCGGGCCTCTTGGGCATTTTCAGGCCCAGTTCGGCATGGGCGGATGTCTGAATGAAAACAAATCGAATCGAGTCGGCTCGTGAGTCAGAGTTCACGGCTCGGTCAAGGCCAGAGCTTTCTTGGCCCGAGCCGAGTCAAATCTCGATCAAAAAAGTCATGACTTGGTTCGAACTTTCGGCTCAATTATTTATTTTTAAAATCATGAAATTCAGAAAAAAAAAAAAAAAATTTAACAATATAAATTATGTGCAATTTATACTTACTTGAAATTTTGGAATTTTTTGAATAGCTACAAAGCAGCTGTAGCTGTCGGATATAACTATGCGTGTATTATGTGCTAAAATTGATGGCAAATATAAAATTTAGGATTCCAATTTTGTAGATGTTGTAAGGATATCATTTTACACACGCCTAAAAATAATTTTCAATTGATTGGTGAAACAACAATAAATGAATGAGAATGCATAATAAAGAGTTTCTGTTAAATTTTATTTCAATTTTTAGCACCGCAAAGTATGTGCATTATACTGATTTGATACATTACATATTGTTGTTAACAACAAAAAGGAAAAATTGAATATGTTATATAAATCCTTTTTTATGACTCAACAAGCCTATGACACGGGCTGAATTAAGTTCGAG